TTTTAATTTCCTGAGGATAATAACGCTCCTGAGCAGACTTGATTAAACAACGCTCTGCACGCTGAATGTGACCAACAACCAATGAGCCTAATTTTACCGTTATATGCTTACAGACATCTGCTAACCTGATCCACCATGCAAGCGCTCTTTTCATTCTGAACCACCCACAAAAATGATTTGCTATAAAGTCTACAGGATTCCCACCATGTGGACTACGATCCGTACCAAAATCTGCCACATGACACACTAACTGGCTCTCTTTTTAACTCAAGATCATCTGCTGACACTGAACAATGGCTATTGTCCAGATCCCACTCACTTTTGTATTGACTCAAGAAACGGGGCCCCTGGAGCCACGACTTACACGTATTCTGATCGAGTATATGACCTCTACTGATAATATCGGCAGGATTGTTCCGACCGGTAATATGAAACCACTGCTTGGGATCTGTTAATTGTCGGATGACGCCAACTCTATTCTCCACAAACACCTGGAAACGTCTCGTGTAACTGGTAATGTATGCTAGGACGATCTCTGAATCTACCCAGAAGTAAGATTGATCTACCGGAAACTCGAACTCATTTCTCAGAAGCACATCTACTTTAGCTGATAATACGGCAGCTTGCAACTCAAGGCGTGGAATGCTACACTGTTTAATGGGGGACACTTTAGTCTTGCTCATTACCAACTGCGTATGAACGCGTCCAACCTTGTTCACGCACCTGAGATAAGTGCACGACCCGTAAGCAGATTGACTAGCGTCAGAAAAGTGATGCAGTTCAACAACCGCGTCATCAAAATCAGGCGGTTTTACGCACCGAGGAACCTGAACATGGTTCAAGAGATCCAGCGATACCATCCATCTGCGCCACTGTCCAGAAATCTGAGAAGGCACGTCCTGATCCCAATCATATCTGAGACGAGTCGCATCCTTAAATATCAACTTTCCCAAAAGGACATGCGGACCAACTAACCCCAACGGATCGTACGTGGAGGATATCACGCTCAGCATTTTCCTGCGAGTAACCTGCTGTTCGACCTTGACATTGACCTCGAAAGCAAATACGTCAGCCATGATAATCCATTTGACACCGAGTGCTTTTCCAGAAGCTTCTAGAGAAATGCACTTTACCTCTTTGGCTCGGTGACACTCTGGTACTGTTTCTAACAACTGACTGTCATTTACAACAAACTTTGTGAGATTGAAACCCCCTTCACGAAGTAACAAAGGCGTCTGTTCTAGTACAACCATGACGTCCTGCCGAGAACTAAGTGACTTCAAGAAATCATCCACGTAGAATGACTCTTCAACGGAGGCTAACGTATCCGCGAAACGACTCCTGTTTTCCGTTATAGTGCGTATCAAAGCGTAAGCTGAGCAACTGGAACACCAGACACCCCCAAATAAATGTGACCTCATTCGATAACTGACTACGTTCTCTTGACCATTACCATACCACAAAAACCGGAGTGCATCTTTGTCTTTGGATGGGACTCTTACCTGATGGTACATCGCTTCGATGTCTGCCTGGATTGCATATCTATGCTGTCTGAAACGTATCAAAATATGTAACAACTTGTTTACTAGGTCGGGTCCCTGCTTACATCGCTCGTTGAGCGATTTACCCTTGAACTTGGCCGCACAATCAAACACCACTCTCATTTTATCCGGTTTCTTCTCAGTGACTACTGCATGATGTGGCAGATACCAAACTCGATCAGCGGTATGTAATTGCTCTTGCGGAACAACCTCTGCATAACCCTCAGTAACTAACTTGCTGATTTCGGCATCATACCTTTGAAAAAGTCCCTGTTTTTCAAGTTTCTTAACCGTAGACTGCAAACGCCAACTTGCTAACGCGTAGTTATTGGGTAACGGCTCCTCCCTATCCTTCCAAGGGATGGGAATTTCAAAATGCCCATCTTTCATGACACATTCTCTATCCCAGAGCTCGATAACCGATTTATCCTCCCGTGACCAACCGATCTCATCCATACCCTCATTTTCAATCTTCCACAGTGCATGTATGTCATCGACAACTGGAACAGACAAAGCACTTACAAAATGTGACACAACTGTACGACCGATCTTACCAACTGGAGATTGACCATTGATACACCAACCAAACAGCGTTCTAACAGCGAAAGGCTCACCTCGGCCACCTTTACGTACCTCGAGTGGAATAAGGGCCTCAGTATGATCTTGCCCTATCAACAAATCAACCCCATGTACGACTTCACAAGATACCATATCAATGTCAACCAAATGCTTATACGTCTTAACATCCAAATGGGCAGATTTCACAGGTATTCTACCAATCACATATACACCAGACATGTCTAAACTTTCACCATTACCGGATGACAATGATAAATTCACCATCTGAGATTTCGTTGGAGCTGATTTACACAAAGTACTTAAATGATATGACACTGTCTTTCCTGTCAAGCTTAACTGATTAGCCAAACTACTCGAACAGAAGGAGTTGCTAGCACCTGTATCCAGTAGTGCATTGACTAGGACCTCATTGTTAACCAATACCTGTACAATGGGCATATATGTTTCTCTGTCCGAGGACATACTTGCATTTGACACACTTCTGCTTGGGTTTACCGATACTGACTGATCACCAACATTGTGAATATACATAGTAAGTTTCTTTCTACAACCTGTGACAGACTGGCTCCTGCGCGTTTTAGCTGTACCGTTATCACAAGCACGCCGCTAATAGGATGCGACCCAGTTTCAGACTAGGTAATCAGCGCGAGGCATAATGCTTATTGCGAACGTACGTGCCAGGGCGATCGAGTTGTGTATGTGGGTATGCGTAGTTCACTATCAGAGCGTGGTTCACTATGACAGCCGCGCCTTGGAGTACGACGAACATAATACATACGCGCGCGCGTGTGTATGTGCGTGCGTGCGTGCGTGTGTGTTTGTTTGTGTGTGTGTGTGTGCGTGTGGGTGCGTGTGTGTCCGTGTGTGTGCCTGTATATGGGTGTGGCCGTGTGGGCGTGCGTGCGTGTGCACGGATGTGCATGCGTGCGTGTGTGCGTGCATGCTTACGTATGTGTGCGCGCCCGCGTGAATGTAAATAAAATATAAGTAAATAAACGTTGGTTTTCAAGGTTTTAGGAAACCATTTCGCAACCTTATTGTACATGTTACGTAGTGGTTTATAACAAGTTTTTGGCAAACGTTTGTTAAGAACCGACATGTAACGTTACTATCAACGTTTACTGAACGTTAACAAAACGATTTTGGCAAACGTTTTTCAATAATTTAAATATAACCTTATTATAAACGTTTTACTAACCGTAATAGAACGTTTTTAGAAAACGTTTTTTAAATAACATAAATATAGCTTTATTAGAAACGTTTTACGAACGTTTGGAAAACGTTTCATTCATACCAAACAATAAAATATCTCGAGTAACATCATAACTTAATTACGAGGTTATTGCTGTGTCGTAGCTTTCTCTAACCAATCCTAGTATATCTTAACCCTCTCTTTCTGACTCTTTCTCCGATTCTGTCTCTAGTCGAACACGCGGTTATATACCCACATTTGTAGACACGCCTTCCTATTGTTTCTGGTCACTCCGTTCTATACGCTACTGTCCGTAATTGGGTAATTCTACCACTGTCTAGTCCAGCGTTATAACTTTACACAGCTAGCATGTATCCCAAAATAGAACAATAGCTTAGTCATGTATATTTATTTCTATGTCTTTCCACAGTATTACATGCTATCTAAGCCCGTTTGAGCCCGCTACGCTGCGATTAGGCGCACGCCTGGCCCGGGCCTAGCGTGGAATAGTTTGATATAGGATCTAAATTGCAGTCTGTACGGGGTATAAATTACTACAGCCCAGTTCGTTTGAGCGATAAAAACGTCTGCCTACACCCTCAAATAACGTCTGTTCGCATACCGCAATGAACTCCTTGTTTCACTGCAGCTAGCTCTGATTTTAGAGTGTAATCTCTAAACTCGAAAAATACGTCTATGCAATAAAGCGAAAACGTAAAAAGTCAATTGATGTAGCGCTCCAATGTGCCATATAGGTGAGTGAGATGACGTCACTGGCGGTATGGCGCGTAGTCTTCTAGTTATAGGTCAAGTTCTCTATTCGGCACGCCAGTCGGCTCCTGGAAGGCCGGCATCTTGGAATGATTTACGTTGAGCTGTCACAGCGCGTAAAACAACATCGTTAGCGTGTTGCTTTGGTTTACCGTTGCGTCGTGGCTTTCTACCGCCGGGTGGCTAAAATTGTAAAACACTAGCGTCGCTGGCCTGGCCAACTATGGCCTACCCACCTGTTTACATAGCACCATTTGTCCGGTCGTTGAACACGGTTAAATATAACAAACGATACGAAGATAAAGATACGCTAACAAACTAGCGCCGACAGAAAAGGAAATGAAGACAGAGGAGACGAGAGAAGGGAGAACACACAACAAGGATGGAAGAAAAAAGCGAGAGAGCGATAGAGAGCGACATCGAGAGAATACAGATGGAAGAATATCAGGATAGAAAATGGGATAAAGAGAAAGGCACACTCAGACAGCGAGACACACCCACACACACACACACCACCCCCCACCACACACACACCACCACACACACACACACACACACACACACACACACACACACACACACACACACACACACACACACAACAAACAAGCAGTCCACAACAGAGAGAGAGAGAGAGAGAGAGAGAGAGAGAGAGAGAGAGACGCACATACATAGAGAGAGTGCGCGAGAGGAGAAGGTGAGAGAATGGAAGACATAGAAACAGAGAGCAACCTTGAACGATAAGAACTTAGAAGGTGAAGAACGCGAGGAAGGGGAATACAGTCTGCGAGAGAAGGGGGTCGACTGAAAAACAGCACACCCTTCACACACACGCAGAGAGAGAGAGAGAGAGCTAAGCTGACAGAACAAGAGAAGAAAGTGCGCGTGCGTGGATGTATGAGCTGCGTGCCATATGCGCGTGATGCCGTGCGCTACTTAACGCACTGACTACCACACCCTCCTAGAAGGAAGCAATCTATAGGGTGTATCATCGCACTACCTACAGAACTGTATTTCGTTATTGTTAAGCAACGTATTTATACGCATAGTGCGGTGTCGTATTTTGCCTATTTACGGTGCTACGGTGCTAGTACACGCTAGCGCGGAGCAGACATTAGGGAGATGCGTGCTCTGAGATTGTGCGCCTTGCTGGCCTTGCTTCCTCTCGCCTTACCCGATCGATGCCCTCCCCGCAAGTTAATTCGCCCCTGTAGATGCGACACTGACCTGGAGGCGCCGTCGGAGAACGCGCATGCCGTCAAGCTGACATGTAGACGACTGGAGATTAAGCGCCTCTCAGCCATCGCCACCTCACTGAAGCCCTACAGCTTCCAGACGGTGACGCTCGACAGGTACGCGAGCACGACCCTGCCTGACAACGGGACGCTCGCACCGCTTGATACGCGGCACTTCGTCATCAGGCGCGCGCGCATTACAACGCTCGGCCGAGGCACCTTCGTCGGCATGCGTCGCCTAGCGGCTGTTAAGATCACCGACTGTCGTCGCCTGAGGAGCATCGGTAAGGGCGCATTCCGTCGGCTACCAGCGTTGCTGAGCATCAAAGTAACGGGCACTCGTCTGCGGCGTCTGCCTTCGCGCGTCTTTCACGGCGCTAAGCGACTCCGCTATCTGAACCTCAGAAACAACCGACTAAAGGTATTCCAACCGAAAGCGTTTAAAGGTTTAAACTCGCTTACAGAGCTGAACCTGGATGGCAACCGGTTCACGCGCGTTAGCGACGGTGAGTTCAAGTACTTGCCGAGCGTTCAGCGTCTGACGCTTCGCGACAATAACATAACGCAGCTCGGCTACCAGGCCTTCTACGTGCTCGGCAGGCTGGCGCAACTCGACCTGTCGCGCAACGCCATCGGTAAACTTCCGTTCGGCGTGCTGTTTCCCCTCGGTAGCCTCGAGATGTTAAATATGACCGACAACGCGCTTGCCGACGTTATGGTCGGCACGTTCAGCCGTAACCCAGTGCTCCGCTCTGTCGATCTGAGCGGCAACAATATCGCCAAGATGCGCGTCGGCGCCTTCACCGGCCCGTCACTGCTCGAGTCGCTCAACTTGTCGCGTAACCGCATACGGCGCCTTCCCGTCGGCCTGCTAGACGGCCTCACCCATCTCTCCGTACTTGACGTGTCAAGGAATCGGCTCTTCCGCGTCGCCGACGGCGCGCTACGCACGAACCGCACGGGCGCCTGCTTCTGTGCGCCGTCTTTGCGCGACTTGTCACTAGCCGACAATGGGCTGCGGCGGCTTGCACCCAGCATGTTCTCCTACATGCCGGATCTGGTGACACTGCGACTCGAGGGCAACGCGATCAGGGCCGTGCCGCATGACGTGTTCGTGCCGAGCAAGAACGACTGTGGATGTCATGGCGGCGTGGCTGCGCTGCGGCACCTGTCGCTCGCCAACAACAGCATTTGCTTTCTCAACCCGGATACGCTCACGGGAATGTCGGACCGTTTCGAGAGTCTAGAACTGGAAGGTGAGACCTAGCAGTAACTACCGCCTTCCTCTCATAAATCTGGTTTCTTTTTCTTACTCACTTTCTTTAAGTAGGCAAAGGGCAGGTGGGTCAGAGGGGTTGGACGACGCCCAACATCGTGATCTCTGTTGCACTCTATATATTAGTGCAAGCGTGCAACAGTCGCGCAGCGAGAGCAATGGCTGCCGGTAATGCAATGGTAGGAAACTATCGGCGATAATAGGTGAAAGAGAGTAGGCCTATAGTATAGAAACATTAAGAATTTTGTACTAAGTAAAGAGATTTCGTATTTAGTTAGCATTATATTTTATTGAAACGCGTCAAGTGCCTGTGGTTCTAATATTCGTACATGCGCCCGCGCCCAATCATTCACACACGCGCGCACGCCCGCACACGCACACGTATCACTTATAATGAGACGTCAGCCACTCGATACGAGCAGATACGCATAACAAGCGCAAGCAGTAATTGCGTTCTTTGCGCTAACCTCGTCTTTCCACAGCCGGTGCTCGCTCCCAGACAAAACACAGATAGTACAATGGTTTGCGTGCATTCCGCTGCTATTGGCCCCTGAAGCCACAGGCACTTGGAACGTCTCAATAAAAAATAATGGTAAATAAACACGAAATGTATTTACTAACAACGTCTTAATGTTTCTCTACTCTCTTTCGTCTATTATTGCCGATAACTTGCTGTAAATGCCGTCTAAATGCTCATCTGCAACACACAAGTACACCGCACGCACGCCAACAACAAGAATCAAATAGGCTCTTTGTGTGTTGCAGAGGAGCATTTGAACGGCATTTACAGCAAGTTAGCGGCAACAATAGGCGAAAGAAAGTAGAGAAACATTCAGACTTTGGTAGTAAATACATTTCGTGTTTATTTACCTTTTTTATTGAGACGTTACAAGCGCCTGTGCGTGAAACATTTATGAATATAAACCTTGATCGTTAGTGAGCTGCCCCTCGAGCGGCAGCAGCGAGCTTTCAGTTTCAGCGACTACAGCTGTTGTCATCATTTGTAGGCCTGCGTACGTGCGTACGGGGTTGGGTACGTGTGTTGGCTTACGTGTGCCTTCGCGCGTGCGTGCATGTGTACGAATGTAATATCTTTATGTGTGCGTCCTCATGTCCTGTGCGTACGTGTATATTATATGCCTATTATATGGCATCCGTATCGTAATTTTATTTCCTTCTCTCTCGTTCTAGGAAACCCGTTTCACTGCGACTGCTGTGCTGACTGGCTAAAGTCAATGGCGCTAATAAACACTAACATTACCGAATACATGAAGGTAAGTGCGGCTGAAGGGGTCGTTGTCGTATCAGGTACTACAGATATGTACCCGAGGTACGTATATGCATACACAAGTGTACCAGACCGGCATGTATCTTCTCAGCATATATGTACCCTGTGTTTACATAAACGTACCTGCCCCGCGGGCAGCATATGAAGCCACGCGATAAAGTACGAGAATGTCGTAAACCTTTAAAACAAGAGAACAAACGCCATTTATAAATGTTTGTTTTGGTTTATAACCGTTAGATAAGTAAGTTTTCTTAGTAAGTTAGCTGCCGAGTTTGGTTTAGTTAGGAAATGATACTACGATTTGCGTATCCGTATCGGTATCGTTCCGCGTATACGGCAGTATTAACAGGTATGAGGATATGCAGTGTAGGGGCCTATACACAATACGTTTTTGTTCTACTTTCTGTTTATGTTCGTGGACCGATTAGTTTACAGCTGACCTCAGGGTTTTTGGTAGATAATTCAGGATTTTGGTTACAAGACATGGAGGCTGCATACATCTTGCCAAATTCCAGCCAATCAGAAGGCGCTAAATTCTTCCTATGTTATACCGTTTTCCGGCTTTTACGACAATACCACGTGACTGAACGAGGCTTCCCGCCTGGGCACATTTATGGAGCGCAGCGATACGGTTATTTAGAAACAACAATGGTCAGGTACACTTGTGTATACATATATGTACCTCGGGTGCATATCTGTAGTACCTGATACGACAACGACCCCATCTGCGTAAGTGCGGCACAACCGGGCACAACAAGTAGGGACCGAGCTAGGTCTGTGGCAGAGCGAGGGGCTATAGTTCTAGAGCTAGGACTGAGCATGCTACAGTAAATCGTCGAGCACATGTGAAAGGCGTGAGGCGCCCATGATTCGCAGCGTGGTTAACCGGGCTCAAGCAGATCATTCATTAGTCTGCTAGTTAACCAGTAAGGCGTACATCATCGTTAGTTCACCATTAGAGCGTACAACATCGTTAGTTAACTTTACCAGCATAAACTGCAGCAAGGCATATTCCATTGTTAATTAAAATTCAACTCGATTTGAAAAATAAAATAAAATTTAAATGCAAAGTGGAAATGAATTTGAAATAAAATTTCGAATGAGAATGAAAATAAAAAGTAAAATGGACAAAATTGGAATAAAAACGGATTTGAAATGAAAATGTTTTAAAATAAATAACCGAAAATATCCGTAGCCTTCTCGGCCCCCACAACCAAGGGAGACGTATTATAATGATTAATTAGGGCGTCACGTAAGGGGTTCATAGAGATTTGTTAGGGATTAAAAGAGTCTTTATAGCAGGGCTATGCGAGGCTGCTGCGGGTTTTGTTTGCCATCTGCACGTGTTTAATCAGCGCAGCCGACTTTGAATTTTCGAGAGAACGTGTCTAGTCTGTGTTTGCCGATTTCTTTCAACTGAAAACTTTATTTCGGCAATCTGTTTATGATTACGTGGGACGAATCGGGTTTAAGCGGTAGAAAAAGTGTTAATAGTCGTGAACATTATACGCCAACACGAAGCAGATTACCAATTACAACTTGGGTCGTGCGTTTAGAGCATATAGCTGGCAGCTAGGCTCGATACGTGTAACTAAATGCTGAACACGTACGTTTGATAAAAATCTCGTATCGAGATGTTTTTCTCAGTATTGTGTTTGTATGCAACTTTGGGAATTTCACTACTCTGCGTGGTTTCCGACTGACAGTGGCAACAAATGTACTAGGCGTTAACGCCGCTGCCACTGCGCACAGTGTGAATTTCAATTGACGTAAACCTAACCATAAAAAAATCTGCGGGAAAGCGTGGTTCCACAGAGTGCTGAGTAAAAATAGAATGATTGATTCATGTATACGAAGCTTGATTAACACTCCGTTTATATTGATTCATGTGTATGTAATACGTATAAAACCATGACCGTTAGCGTTTGTTTTAACATTAGGTATCGCGTATCTAGAACAGTTTAATCTCGTTAAAACACTATATCATTTCAGTTAGTTGGCCTCTATAGGCAAACAGTGAGGATTACACCCCGTCGTATAATCAAACCTCCTCACCAAATCTATACGCCTTGCTACGCTTTGGTTTTGCGCAATTAAACCGTCGGGAACGACAGTTTCGTTACGTACTTCATTACATGCGGTCGCCTGCAATTAACGTGAAGTGTAAGATTTAACTGGACGCCAGAAACGATGTTTACGAAATTAATAACGATACAGGAAATGATACTAATTACTCCAAGTTTATTGTGCAATACAAGAAGCTAGGGCTCCTTTAGTATTAGTACTTATTGGTGTTATAAGCGTTTTGTCAACGTTGAAATGATTTCATAGCACATGCATGGTGTTTTACCCTTTAGCCGTATAGTTAGTACCGTAAATTATTTTACTTGGTTTCAGGCCCGATGTACTAATCTCAGCGACAGATTTCTGACGGAGGTAGATTCCCGGGAGCTTATATGTGATGGCGGTGTTAGGCAATGCGATCCGTACAGTCCTCCGCGTGCATGCGCGAACACATGATCGCAGAAGAAGCGTCTTAGAGACGTCCCAATCGAAATTATTGCATGGAGGTAAGCATGTAATAATATAATGCATCAAAATTCAACGCGGAATACAAAACAGGCGAATGCCCGGTTGTAGATTTCTGTACCCAGATATGTTTGTGAAAGTAAAAATAAAACTGTAAGCTTGCTTGAATGGCAGACACACACAAGCACTCACACACACGTCGCGCACACACGCGCGCACACACGCACACGCACACGCACACACACGCACAGAGGGAGATATATAGATAGAGAGAGAGGGGGCAGACAGACATACACACACACATACACACACACACCACACACACACACACACACACACACACACACGCACAGAGGGAGATATATAGATAGAGAGAGAGGGGGCAGACAGACATATACACACACACACACACACACACACACACACACACACACACACACACAAGACAGAAACACACAGAAACACACACACAGGCCCTGTGGTAATAAATTGTGTATTTTAGGTGAACCTTTTCATCACCCACCCCGTTACGTCAGTCGGTCTACGCAGTCACACACGACTATGGAAGAGGCGCAGCAATGCCGAGGTGTCCCAATATATAGGGCCTCGTAATAATGTTAAATGGGAAAACGGCAATTACATCATTCGATGTGTTCACATATAATAAGTGATCGTGGGAGTTACGGAATTATCATGAAATCTGGAAAATTATTTATTGGATAATCAACAGGCTAAAATGTGAGGAATATCCCGAAAGCAAAGGCATGTAGCTCGTTCTAGACATTTTCTCCTTACAGGATTGTTTATATAAATAAGACGTTAGATTTATTTTTGTGTTATTTCGTCGGTTTCTTGCGCTTCTCTACTTGCTCTTGGCGGCAACTTGCTCTAGTAACACACCGGTTTGCACAACAACATAAATGAGTTTGATCACACAAACATGCCCCTCCCTTAACGCACACACGCAGCGAAAGTAGCAACTTATTCAGTTAACAGAATAATCATTTAAAAGAAAAACGAACCATCATCGTTAAGCTGAGAAACGTGCACAATGGCAGGGGTATTGAAATACATTTTTTGAAATTTTAGTGCAAGTGCTAAACACATTGGCATGATGTTTGAAACATTCTAGTCGTAAGTGTAGTTTGTTATTACACGTCGCACATGTCATTCGCTATTTTCCTATAAGTATATGTTCTTGAAATGTTATCTTTACATGCTGTAATAACTGTTCTCGATTTTACTCCATACTATCAAATGGTGTTTGTCGATCCTTATGCATTAGCTACGCTCATCAGGTAAGCTTGTCTGCAGTATATCAGAACAGACTTCGTATGTGCCCCTGGTGTTGAATGTATCTGTACCATACATAATAATGATTCTGTATAGCCGGAGATTTGCTTATTGTATATATATCAGGACTTTATAGGATATTGATAGACTCCTGTATATATATATATATATATATATTCGGGAGATGCAAGAGCCACTCCGTCAGATATTTCTTCAATAATAATGTAACCCGTTGCTGAGCTCATTCTATGCTTATGGTACTTAGCGATTGTATTGATGATTCGTTCTCAGCATCTACCAGATGTTGTACTGTTGTCCAAATAGACTGAAAGCACTTAAATATCGAGACTAACCTTAAGAGCAACCAAAATGCCGCTGTGTACCTTATTTTTTTTATTACGAACTCAAGCGGGATACACGGCGAGTTGTCCCGGGGAAATCAGTGGCGTTTACTCAGGTCGGTGACTGCTTGGTGAAAGGAAAAATACCCCCAAAACACAATCTAAACTCATCTATCTATTCATATGGCATCCATGTATCCATCCCATTCTGCCATCCATCGCCTCCCATCCATTCCCATCCCTCGCCCCGCATCCCTTCCAGTCCCTTCCGCATTCGCCATCCCATCCCAATCTCATCAACATTCAGTGCCATCCCATGCCATCCCATGCCATCCATGCCATCCCATGCCATCCCATCCCACTCCCATCCCATCCCATCCCATCCATCCGCCAGCTCCATCCCATCCTGTCCCATCCCATCGCGCACCGCATCCCATCCCATACCATCCCATCCATCCTATCCCATCGCCATGCCATCTCCATGCCATCCCATTCCATGCCATCTCCCATGCCATCGCATGCCATCCCCATTTATCCCATCCCACCCATCCCATCCATCCCATCCCATCCCATCCCATCCATTCGCATCCTATCCCATCCCATGCCATCCCATGCCATCACATTCCATGCCATCCCATGCCATCGCATGCCATCCCATCTTATCCCATCCCATCCCATCCCATCCCATCCCATCCCAAACAGTAAAATATAATAAGAAATCAAAAGATAAAAGACATTAAAAATAAAAAAAATTAATAAACTAAAAGAAATAATAATTAAACAAATTAATAAATTAAAAATGAATTAAAATTAAAAATAATACATACTAAAGAGGTAAGTAAAGGGAAAAAAGGAAAAAAGGAAATCTAACTATCTATCTATCCATGCATCATCCATCCATTCATCCCATCTCCATGCCATCCCATCCCATCCCACTCGCACCGCATCCGCATCCATAACCCATCCCATCCCATCTCATCACATTCAGTGCCATCCATTGCCATGCCATCCCATCCCATCCCATCCCATCGCACCGCATCCCATCCCATGCCATCCTATACCATCCCATCCCATCCCATCCTATCCCAAGCAGCAAAAAATAATAAGAAATCAAAAGATAAAAAAACATTAAAAATTAAAATAATTAATAAACTAAAAAAATAATTAATTAAATAAATTAATTAATTAAAAATTAATTAAAAATTAAAAATAATACATACTAAAAAGGTAGGTAAAGGGAAAAAAAGAAAAAAAGGGAAAATAAGTTCCCCAGCTGGGACTCGAACCCGGAATCCAGGTGTAGCAGACGGATATTGTACTGATGAGCCCACTGCGCCATTGGGTTTATGCACCATGGATTCAGACGTGATGTTGTGTGTACGTACGTGACCGCCATCTATTGATCAATAGAATTTTTTATGAATGTTTCACTTTTTCACTTTTTTAAATTTTGTTTCAGCCAGAACCACCTCCCAGACGTGCTGATTCTGAAAAAATATTTAGTTTTTCTCTAGGCTGCGGAGTTCTCTAGTTATGCGCGAACACACACATTCGGCTGAACAACTTTATATATATATATATATAGACGAGATCACAATTCCAGTCATAAAACATCAACATCAACAGCAGACTTAACATCAGCCTTCATACAAGATATATATTTTCCTCGGGAATATTTCCATTGAATGTGTATGTATGTATGTACGTATGTATGTATGTATGTATGTCGAATAATGTTGTACAGTAGGTATATATCCACCAAAATTACATGGCATATATGTATGTCTCGGACAGTGTGCATGGCTCCATTCCACAAGAATTCGGTTGGTCAAGGATAGTCACGTGAAGACGATAACAGATAAGCCTGACATTCTCACGTGGAGTTACGTCATGTCAACGAACCAATCAGATTTTTTTTTAATCTGTTTAGATTGTGTTCACAAGTTTATTGTCAATATTCAATGCTCAAAGATGCCATGCAACATGTGCTGGTAAATTTTTACCTATGTAAAATAGCCTCACCCCAACCTAGAATTACATCCAAACAACCTTGGACAGAATAAAACCAATGGTGCTACCGATGATGCTGCCGATTGTCATAACGTGTTTCGCGAGACAAGGCGACGATGGCGACGATTCTGACAACGATGACGCTACTGAACGAGGGCTTCGGTGCCGTAGTAGATCTTCCTCATCATCTGTCCAAAGCTGGTGTTCAGCTGCTTGATGTTCGCGGGGTCGTGCTCTTTGATCGGGTCCTCTTTAATAATATAATAGCTGTGGCGGTATAACAAGTGTATCGCGTAGTACTCATGCCAATCTCGTCGGCGATTTACATTCTGTCGGTACAGCTGAAACATGACCCCAATGTTTACCCCGAACTCCTCTAGCCCGACGACGCGAGCGACACTCGGCGTGCGGCGCAGTAACTCGGCGGGCACCCAGCCGGCGTTGTAGTACCACAGGCTGTCGTTGAAGGCGTGATAGCTGTTGTAGTACATGCGCAGGAACGTCGCATTTGAATCTGGTTACCAATGTTATGCTCAACGGTGTTCATGCCGACCGTGTATGTGTTATTGTAGCGAAAGACGTCGAATGGTTTAACGACATTGTCGAGGTAGATGCCGCCGCGCTCGAGCAAGACCTCGACAGTCTGCAGCCCGGATATCCGCGCGAAGCGCGCAAACGCCGCGCAGCGGCGACACCATGACTTAATCGCTGTCTCTATTTAGAACAATTTCAACGGTTATGTCAAATCGGCCTGTAATCGGTCAATTGAGGAGCTGTGGCGATTGCAGCAGAAAGCCTTTCGACTTTGCACGTAGGGCGAGAATAAACTCCAAATGCGGCCTTTGTTGTTGGTGTGTGTCCTCGGCGCGCGTCTCGTTTTCGGTGTAGAAAAATAATTTTCCAACTTTTCGCTGGTTATGCCCTGCACATTAATTTTGGAAGTTATCGCCAACCCATAGATGGCGGCAAACGAGCTCATCTACGTTCCCATTTTTCAAGTTTTTTTTTAAAAAACGCTTCGGCTTTATGACCATAGACTGGCCGGCGCAGGGTGCACGAGCTCGACACGCTATGCGTAACTCACTTCAGTGACCAAACGATAGTTGGCCTGAGTTGAAGGTCGGTAGCCGTCTAGCCTGCACGCGTCACTGCCGCCCTGAACTTCCCGCATCCATCTTAAAACGCACAAATCTGTGTTCTGATGTTTGCCATTAATATTTATGACGAGGTTAATCCTGCATTCTGAAAGCTCCGCCTTCGTGCGGACACGGGTCCGTGGCGAGAATTTCCGTCAGTCCTCTGTGTGATTTCGCGTGACCACAGCTTCTCTATCGATACAAGACATTATGTCTTTTTAGAAGTCAAGTTTAGTCAACACTGTTCCTTCAAATTAGAAACAACAGAGTCGAAGCTGTTTTGATGAGTGATTTCTTTTTTCAAATCGTTTTGGGAGAGCGTATAGGCCTACGTACAGCATTTCTTGCATTATATTACATGTCCCAGCGCTGCTGCTTGTATAGCAAAAAACCTATGAATCTTTGGCATGCAGCCTTGATCTTGCAGTGCAGACTTAGCGAGGAGGGAGCGACTGATCATGTACAGTCCTTGTCGGGTTATTTCACCGATTACTATCCAATCACCTCATAGTGGACGTGGAAGTTGTTACTTGCAAGTAAGTTGTTATAGTGTAGGGCTGGCACTTGCGCTGTGATACTGATTCGCTAGACTGATAGTGATATAGCTAAGGCCTAGTAACTAGTAAGTGTACTGGCAACGCGTAAATTAACCCACTATTACAAAACTGAATTCATAAGGCTCATGTAATACCACGAAATGAATGAAACGCCTGAGCTCAGTGTTCCAATTCTATTTATATTACAGGTTCTTTTTAACTGCCTATAGCCTAAGTCCTAAGCATCATAATACGATGTATTTTTGTGCGCGCTTTATGCATGTATTCATTGCTACGTGTCTCGGCTTAGGCTTAGTCC